AAGGCGCTTCGCTCCTTAACAACAAACAACCAACGTATGCAACAACTTAAGATTCTATCTATAATCAATAAAGAACACATGAAGTAGACTATGGAATAATACTTAAGCTCACATTTAGATAAAGCTAATATTGTCCAAATAAAAACTTCTACTTTAGTTCAGCGACAAAGCTCCTAATGATCAATAGATGATATAGGTCTAGCTATTATCTGAAGAAAAATATTTTTCAGTGAACAGCATCCCTAAATAAAATTAAAATTGATTAAAAGAAAGAAATATAACTACAATGAGCAAAAGTTTAACTAAAATACTCATTTAGAAAAGAAATAGTGTATAACTCAAACTGAATATTTTCATTTAAGCATTTAGTGTGAAAACATCATCATATGATGATAATGCAACAGTCAAATTTCACTTTCTAAACTATCAATCTCATATTAAACAATTAAAAAATGCAACTCTCTCATTACAAAGAAAACCACTCAAGAAAATCAACTAGTCTAACAAGATTCATTTAAAAAAGTTAATTTTAAAATATCCTTTAGCAGAACTTTATTAGAATAGGTAACAAGCATTGACACATAGTCCACGAGGGTAAGTAACAAACAGTTGTGGACACACAATCTACAAGAGTAAGTAACCAGTCAAGCACAACTCGAAGCCTCAAAACAAGCTTAGTACAATGCTCACAAATATTCATCCCTCCGTTCCACGTGCGTTGATGTGTTCACAGGGCTAGCACCTGCTACTAACACACTACTAGCTAGGTATCTCATGACATGCTAAGGGCTAACAGAACTGCTTTTAGCAACTAGCATTTTAATTCGATCCCACACTTTAAATCAAGCATGCATGAATCATAATAATAAATCATTCCTTAAACTATAAAATCAAATATTGACAATATATCAAATAATGGTAAATACTCGAGTGCAAAATATTTCTAACTCTTCTTATAAAACTTTGTACAATGGAAACATTTTATTCATGATAGTTGATAAAAAAATTTAAAATATAACGATATAAATAGTCATGAATGTACTTAAACATTATTGTGAAGAAAATAAACTTACTAATAAGTTATTTGGAATACTATTCACTTATATGAGATATTTCCAAGTACACAAATTACTCCTAATTAGTTGCTTTTATAATATTGTCTGCTTCTTTATTCCCTAACCTTCAAGTGATATTATTGTTATTTCTTTTATACATTTTGCAAATCCAAATCTTCAAGATAATTTAGAAAAATAAAAAAGAAAATTTTCAATCTGTCACCATTCACAATAAAATTACATGTTGAGTTTAATTAATAAACCCCTAGAATACCTAGATAGATGATACTCAAAGTTTCAAGTCTTCTTATCAACAATAGACAACTTTTACTATGTCTTATTTTACTTGCCTCAACATCTTTTTTTTCAACCTTTCATCAAACACTTTATGCATATCTCAAGGCTACTATAAGAACAAACAAACATGATCCTTGAATTTTCAATCAAATCTCTTTTCCAAAATTCTTTAATTTTATTTCTTAAAATTCCTTTCAAATTTCTCTCTCTCTTAATCCTGAAAAAAAATTATAAAGAAATTTTAATAGCCCTTGTTCAAATCAAACAATTTCCCTTTCAACATTTATATAATGAAAGGCAATTTAAATAACTCAAAGTTCTCTAATTCACTTCCATTTATGCCTTAATAACTCTCTATATTATTTTAGCAATAAGTACTTGCTCCATTGAGTTAAAATTTCCTTTTAAGCCTATTGTCAAATCATTTTCAAACCATTCAATGGAATTTCTTGACCCATAATCACTTGTCTAATAATTCTCAGCATCAATATATAGATTTATTATATACATACATATATTAAAACCCATATTCCCCTAGGAATCAATTTAATCTCAAATAAAATTCAAGTCCACACCATCCTCTTTTGCTTGTTAGTCTGAAAATTTCAGCTTGCTCAATCCCTTCCTTCTCTATTTGAACACATACAGCAGAAGAACAACAATGACAAATCACAATCTCCACCATTTAAAAAACACACACGAATCAGACAAGAGGAAAAAATCAGAATTACTTATAGCAAATCAGCCACAGCAGAGCACATGAAAAAGAACCTGGTGATGCCAAAAATGGAGGGAGAGGGGAAAGAAGGACTTGATGCTCCAAGCTACGGCAGCTCAAACAGAGGGAGGAGAGGAGGAAAAGTTCACGGTGAAGAATAGGGGAGGGAGAAACCCGACACACGCAATAAATAGGCAATAAATAAAAGCAGTTGGCCCATAATCTTTACAGATGAATAAACAGGTAATAAATAAATTTCATTTATATATCTTGCTATTATTTCTAAAATTATTTCACCAGATAAAAAGGAACACATCCTTGATAAGCAAGGAAAAGTTTTGAAAGAAATTTATCTACAAGTATCAATTAATTTTAGACATATATAGTACTCGCTCTACTAAAAGAAGTAAGACATTCTTTGAGAAGTTAAATATTAAAAAATATAAGATATTTTTAATCTTTCAAGGTAAAATTAATTTTTTTTAAAAGTGCCCCTTATTGAATATATTATTTATATTTATTTTTGAGTGAAACACCTATTAAATAAAAATAAATAAAAAGATAAAATTATTTTAAAGATAAATAATTATTTTATTAAAAAATAAAATTTAATTAAAAATGTGTTTTATATTTTAACGAAGGCTGTATATACCTGCAATAGGCAGGTTAATTTGCCATCCCGACATGGAGCATGACGACCTTCTTTTTGCCACTTTTCGTCCCCCAAGGCATTTATTACATTCCCAAGAGCCAATAAACCGTTGTCGATATGAAAGCCTAAACCCAAAAAATACGTTAGTGAAATATCAACAATTAACAATTTAAAGCAAGAACTTTCATGCACATATAACTCAACAACTATTTCAAACTCTTAAATTTTTTTTTAGATAACATATCGTATGAACTTGACATATTTTAACATTTACTCTAGAGCATCTACAAAAGAACGTTGATATGGACTTATTTGCAGTGGCAGACGTTGGGGTGAGGGGTGCAAAAGCACCCCCTCACTTTAGAAAATTATAAGTGGAGCATGTAAAGTTTACAATTTGACACCCCATATTTTAATATTTCCTCCTTTTAAACTAAATAAAAAATATTTAGCTTTAAAAACTTATTAAATATATAATATTTTAATAATTTAAATAAGATATGAAGAGCATGTTTATAATAAAATATCATTTCAACTTATTCAATATATTTTTTAAAAATGAAAAATGATGATAAATTTATTTATACTATTATAATTTTAATCCTAGCATAATTATTACTATTTTTTAAAAAATATTAATTTTTTATTAAATTACTCTGCATCCCCTAACTAAAGGTCCTAGCTCTGCCACTGGTTATTTAAACATATCAAAAAAACTTTCTAACCTTAAACTTTTATCTTGCTTTGTTTAATTTATTTGATGATTGGGTATGGTTCAAGTGTGGATGAGATCAACCTAGTCAAAAAAGTTAGAATTTATTTGGTTTGGTTTATTTGTTTCATTTTAGTTTTGTGCATTTTGTATTTAAAAACAAAAATCTGCACTTGCACTTTTGTCATGCATACATTCATATTGATCTTACCTTATTATATCATGAGTCTAGGCATACATTGAGGACAATGCATGATTTAATTATGGAAGAAAGACATAAATATTTTGTTTTGTTTTGTTTTGCTTTGTGTTTTCAATTTTTTTTGAAAATATACAAAAAATAAAACTCTTTGATTTGTCTTATTTGAGGTTACTTAAATAACTTAGCTCTTTGAATGGATATTTTAATTCTTGAGATATGATAGTTTTAAGGATTGAATAAGTATGAAATGAGTACTTTTTACATTGAATTAATGGATAAGAGTGGCACATTACCTCTTATGGGGAGGAGCCAAACACTCTTGTGTGTGTTTAATTTTTTTTTAGTGATGATACCCTCTAGAACTTCTCTCAATTCTTACAAGAGACCCCCTTCCATTCATTTCTCTCTTCTTAAATTAAACACCGCCTTTTAAAGTAGAAAAAATATGCATTTAAATTTGTAGTTATCCGTTCAATTTTTCAGATAAATATATATAATATCATTTCAGTTCAGTTCATTATCACCCTATTTTCTCCAAGCTCCAACCATTAAAATGTTTTCTTTTATTTCCGTTGATTAATATAAATTCATACGGGAATAAATCAGAATAAAAAATAGATATCATTGATTCACATATTGATGCTCTACCAAAAAAGGAGAATAATTTTTTCATAAAATCATTTGCCATCAAGATCAAGACTGAATAAATATTTATCGGATATTCTTCTTTTATTCAATTCATTATTTATTTTTTCCCCGACATTATTTATTAATATTTAACCGTTGATGCCATATATCTAGTAAAATAATCTTACAGTTATAACAATATATGCAGTTAGCCTGGCTTATATAATATAAAATAATAATAACAAAGATTAAATGCTTATCTAGGTAATTCTCAAAAGCATATTCACATATATATACTTTTACCAAATCTAACAAATTATTAAATCCTTCAAATTGGATTTTTGCTAAACGTAAATTAAAAATCAAATACACACTAAGCATTTTGTTGAGAAATAGATAAATGACTAAACTAATTAATCAAATGATCGAAATGCCCATAGTAGTCTGGACAATTTGAATTAGAGTTACTTTTGAAAATAAAGGGCATCTAGCCATATCTGCATTATTAGTTAAAGAGAACCTACTGTTATATATGTATATTTCTTTTATTGCGAAAAAAAAAGGTGATTATTGAAGTATCACAAAAAGTGGCCAGTAAGTTACCTGCAATATCCAGAACAAATCCACTGGTATTTACAAATTCTTCTCTATGTTCAATTTTTCTCGTCATTTTGTACTATTTTGTATTTTATATATAAATTCATATCAATGAAAGAGTGGGGGGCGGAGATCAGAGAGTGAAGTTAATTGAGAGCAGAATGGAGTCATGGAAGTTGGAAGAAGGAGTGACGACCTCCAATGGCGGCAGCAACAGCAGTGGAGGTTGGTCACCAGCCGTAAAAAGCTTATTACAAAAAGTGAGTAAGATATTTAAGAAATAGATAAGTAACAGTATATATTATATCAATTAATAACAATTAAAAGTAACGGCAAGGAGGTTGAACAGGTGATTGCAGAACTGATGGGGACGTACTTCCTAATATTCGCTGGATGTGGGGTGTTGACAGTAGAGAAAATATACGGATCAGTGACATTCCCAGGGATTGCAGTGACATGGGGATTGACAGTGTCCGCTTTGATTTATGCTCTTTCTCATGTCTCTGGTGCTCATTTCAATCCTGCTGTTACCATTGCCCTCACCCTCTTCCGCCTCTTCCCCTGTTGGAAGCAGGTATATATACCTGTGTTGTTTCTGCTTCATTCATGTTGTTCATTCCCTTGCGACTTCTGCATTCTTATTCACGTCCATCTTGATCAATATAATTTACGCAGGCTACATTATATGTCGTGGCTCAGTTTGTGGGGGCTCTTCTTGCTAGCCTCACCTTGGTGGCACTCTTTGATGTTACGCCACAAGCTTATTTTGGAACCCTGCCCATTGGGTCTCACCTGCAGTCATTTGGTGTTGAAATCATCATCACCTCTCTCCTCGTGTTTGTCATCTGTGGGGTTAATACTGATCCCAGAGCGGTTTGTATCTATCAAAACCTTGCCCTACTTCATGCCTTCTCTTGCCTTGCTCTCCTCAATTCATTGTTTGTTCCATATTTCTCTTGCAGAAAGGTGGGTTCGAAGGAGTTGCTGTTGGAATGACAATCATGTTGAATGTTTTTATTGCCGGGTAAATTACTTTAGATGCATGCTCTCAACGTCTATTATTGTATAAAAGCAGTAATAATGATTTGGGAGAATTTCAATAAAGGACCCTTGACTAAACTTATTTACATCAAAGCCCCTAAATTTCACTGCATTCCAAAGATACTAAAATGACAAAATTGCTCCTCCTTTAAAGTAATATCAGAACTCCCCTACTTTACTTATTAATTGTCCTACTTCACTCGTTCGTTTACTTATAGAATGTTGTTAATTGTCCTATTTAATTTGTTTTCATTTTAAGTGTTTAAATCATCTTAAGACAACTTATTATTTAGTATACTGTATATTATTCATTTACTTACGGATTATTATTAATTTCCCTATTTCACTTATTCATTACCTTACTTTACTTATTCATTGCTAGGCATTCACTTGATTTCATTCTAGAAAAATAAAAAAGTAAAGTAAAGCAATTAATAATATTTGATAAGTAAATGAACAAGTGAAGTAAGGCAATTAACAAGTGAAATAAAGAAGTCCTGATATTAATTTAAATAAAGGGTAATTTTGTCATTTTTTTAAAAAAAATTTAATATCAAATCAGTACCTCTGGACTACAGTAAAATTTTAAAAATTTAAGGGTTTTGAATGTAATTAAGTATGGTCAAAGGTCCTTTATTCAAATTCTCCCTAATGATTATTACTATTATAGAAAATATTAAAAGAAATATTTTATAGGAGTGAAATGTACTTCTGTGTTTTGCACGAGTGTCTGAGGATTCGATTCTGAACCCTCTATATCTCAAGAGAAAGTAATCTTTGTTGTAGTCGGATGATATTACCTAATAACTAGCATATTTGTGTTTGGCTACGTAGGCCAGTATCGGGAGCATCGATGAACCCAGCAAGGAGTATAGCGCCGGCAATAGTGAAGAGCGTTTACAAGGGAATTTGGGTTTACATTGCGGGTCCAATAGTTGGAGCCATGGTTGGAGCATTCATTTATCACCTCCTCAGATCCAATCCTGATCCAACCCCACTCCCTCAAAACTAAACCTTAATGTATCCGTTTTTTATTTTGTTCGTATTATTATCGTAGGCATTATTCTCAATTGTTAATTTTAATTTTAAACTTCACAAATAAAAATATATATCAGATCCACAACCACAATTAACATTCCAAATAAAAGAAAATTTAGATCCACATTTCAAAACAAGTAAACAAATCAAAATTGATTTTAAAAAAAAAAAGCCAAAGAGGATGAAGCTTTGGCGGACACCCATCAATGCATTTGATTGTCGCAGGGGAATAAGAGAAGTAAAGGATGAAGGCAGAGCCGTAAGCATTGATGCTGGGAGGAGCCAGTAAATGAATCAAGCCTTCCTTGAGTTCATCTGGTACAGAACCAACAACTTTACCCTTGTAATAATTCATTGAACCAGACAACCAATCATCAGAAGCATCGGATCGACCACAACATTCTGTTGCAGTTTACTTCTATACAGCTCTCGAGCTCGGTGTAAAAAATAAAAGACTTCATCCCCACCTTTGGTCTTCATGGCAAGTACCACTTGTTCCAAAAGTAAGTAATTATCAGCTAACAAAAAGACTCTTCCAGGTTTACCGCTTTCAAATATGTTTTCTCCTCTGCCAAGTAACCATCTTACAATATTCATAGAAGAGTTTTATGTTTCACGAATTACAACAGGCAACCACCTTTATTCATTTGTTTGAGTAGCTGATTCATCATCATTTAGGTTCTAGAGCATAGGAGCCAAAATAAAATTGGCTCATTCACCAAGGCATTTATTGACAATGTCAAGACTAAGGAAACAAAAGAAAGCTGCTTGCAACTCATGTCCCCAAGGCATTATATGTTTTATTTAATTAGGCATGCTTGAGATGCTAAGTTTCAAATATTAATAAAGAGTTCCAAACTCACTATAGTTTATCTGGATGTAAAGATATAAACGAATTAGAATAACAAGTGTTTGATTAATAGAATATGCAAACTACAAAGTAGTAAAAATTACAAAGCTAAAGATGATGCTAAAAACTATTTGAATTAAAAGTGCAATGGGCTTTAGTGATTGATTATTTTTCGGTGGTTCTCTCTGTGACCTTCTCTTTCTTTTATACTCGTTTATTTGAGACAATTACTCCCACGGAGCTTGGAGCTGGTTCATGAAGTATTGGGGATTTAATAGGTACAGCCTGCAGGATTCATGGCATGATCTTCCTATTTGCAATGTGTATGGGTTAACTACCAACTATAACGACCATAATCTTGCAAGATTTAGGGCTTGTTAAGAACACGATCTATCATGAGGCAACAATCTAGATAAAGATTCTAAGTCTTAAGGGATTCATAGACCCAAATTTATTTAGTCAAGTTATTCCATCATGATCTAGGCCATCCCTATTGTTGGATCACTTACTCGAATTGACTTTTCAGTTACTCGCCCATTTTCTGCTATATTCATGGTAAATGACATTTCAATTTTAGCCCAAAGAATGCCCCCCGTGTGCTAGTAGATGGTAACTATAAGCCACATGGCACATTTGAAAAGGGATTGAAACATCGTTTCATTTCTATGCACCTTCTTATCAATATAAATTTCCCCCTTCCTTTTATTAGTCTTTCTTGTTTATTTTGCCATTTCTTGACCCTAAAGCATATGCTCTTTGATGCTTTTGCTTCTTGTTCAACAATGGCTTCTTCTTCTACTACTACCAATTTTGATGATGTTCCAACCAATGCTCCTACAACGACCTTACCTGAATCTCTAGCCACGACCCGAAATCCCATCGGCCTTTTAGGAGAACCTGCTATGGTAAGTACTTTGTCTCCAACTCGTGTTTTTCTTAGTTTGAGTTTTAGTGTAATGTTATTTCTTTCATTTTCTTAGGAAGTTTCAACATTTCAACCATGCATCAATTTCTGGTAAGATTCTTTCCTTAGGTCAAATACTTGTGTTTTTAAGGATTAATGCTGATTGCATTTTACCCTTTTTCTTCAACGCTTCTCCCTAGAGCTTTTGCCTGGCCAATCAGAGTGACATAAGGCTTTTGTCTAGATTCTGGATTGTCAAAAGTAGTAGGAGCTACCTAGCCGAACCTGTAGTCCCTAACCTCAATTCGTAACCTTATATTGGCTCGAGCGACCTTACCCTTCACTAAATCTAGCTATAGGAAGCTCTGCAACTGGCCCCAGTCTCCTTATGCCTAGACTAAATGGGTTAAGCACTTGAAACCAACCTTTGAAATGCCATGGAAGGAAATGGGTCTTTTATGACCTAATCCATCTTTTACAAGTTGATGTTGATATTTGTTAGATGCCCTATTGAGCTTCTTGGCTCCCAGTTGCAACGCCTTCTTCTTTGAGTAAAGCCCCATGACCATCACACTTTTAAACAGTTTCATATTTTTGGGGTTGCCGATTATCAGGGAAGAGAATTTCTTTACTATCCTTGAGAAGCATGAATCATACATTACACTCAGATCATGGAGTTATTCTTAGAGAAGTCCGTAAATGAGCCTGTAACCCTTATGGAGCACCTGGTTTTTATCTAGATTTTGTTGAGTCAGTAGATCCTAGCCCCAGAAGGAGGAATGCATGTGCAATTTCCTTTAAGGGTGCCCTAATCCCTTCTTTGAAGCAATTAACTAGCTCTAGGCATTATGTTTCTTTGTTGTATTTATGATGGTATGAGGGAGTTTGTGTAAAAAAGGAACTTCAGCAATTTTTATGATCCCGTTTAGTTTCTAAGGTCATGGACCACTACCTATTTTTCGAAGCTTTATTGGGAACCTTTCCCCTAAGATCTAAGCGTCTCCCATCCTTTCACCTACCTATTGGGCGTGCATATGCTGAATGAAGAAATAGACATATTCAAAATTCTTCTACCAACAAAGTTGGTCCTTGCAGCAGTCTCTAAAGGCCTTTAATGTTTCAGGCTGTTGCCTTCCCATATGGTATAACTTTTTGGTGGAGAAGAAAAATAAACCTACCACTCTTCTAAGAGATGAGACCATCCTCTCGGCCACTACACTCAAGAAGATGTGGCTTCCTTACACTTGTTCATCCTCCAAAACTTTGAAGGTGTTTGTGAAGTCATATCATCCTCAACTGGTGGCAAGCCAGTTTGGATTTAACCAGTGTATCCCTTACGATCTATCTCCTCAAGTTCACATGGAGTTGATGGATAAAGACTCTATCGCTTGGATGGCTACACTACTACAAAAATTACCTTTTGGAGTGCTTTTATGAAAAAGTACTATGAAATTTAAGTATGGAACCTATGAGAGCACTTTTGCTAAAAAGTGCTCCCATAAGGAAGTCTTTAGTAGCACTCTATTAATAGAGCTTAATAGTGAGGATGCTAAAGGCAACAATTAATTTTTTTTAAAATTAAAACCATTAGGAGCGCTCCTAAAATGTTAGTATTTCGGAATACTCTTTTAATGAGCGCTTTGAAATAATAAACCTTTTGGAGCGTTCTTTAAAAGAGCGCTCTAAAAAGTAAAATAAAAAATATAAAAAAAATTTCAACCTTTAAGAGCGTTTTATAAAAGAGTGCTCTTAAAGGGTAATATTTCGAAGCGCTCTTTAAAAGGATGCCCTTAAAGGTCAATAAAAAAAATTGGCAATCTTATTTATTTTCTCATCGCGTGGTCATTTTTCATTTTCTTTCTTTGCTCCTCTCTCTCTCAGTGAACCCCAATTATGCAGCACGAGAACTCCCTATACCCGACGCCGGCACTGAACTAGAATGACACAGCATGTCATCGCCGTCACCCAACCTCGCCAAAAGAAACAATCGACGTGTGTTGATCTGTTTTTTGCTGTCGATCTATTCATTCTCACCGTCTATTTGTTCTTCATTGTCCCAGCACAACGTTGCCGAATCTGACTGAAGGACGTAGGCCATCGCACGTTGCCACTTAAGTTGCTTGAAGTACTCTGGCCGTCGCACGTTGCTCCACTCAAGGTTTTTTTAAATAAATAAATAATATATATGTATATATATAAATATATAATAATTTATGACTGATAATATATAGATAAATTGTGTTCCTGACTAGCTTTTTATGGAAGGGCTTTTTCAAAGCGTAACAGTAGCTTTTTTGTACTGTAGTTATCCTTTTCTGTTTCAGCCTTGTGATTGTGTGATTAGGATGTTGTGAACACTGCATTTTCACTGAATATTTTTTTAACAAAATAATAATAAAATTAATTAAAAAATAAAATTTTTATAATATAAATAAAATAAAAAATTTTAATTAATATAGTTTAATTTTATTTTAACTTAGATAATCTTTATAGTTTAGGATTTTATTTTTTTAATTCATTAAAATAACTAAAAAAATATAAAAATACAAAAAATGAAATTTAATTCTTTTAGAGGATTATTTTTAAAAAAATTTAATAAAAATAATAATAAATAAGAAGATAAATAAATTTAATTTGTTTTCAGAATCAATTTTGAAAATAATGAAAAAAATCTCGTTTAAGTCTTTGAAAAATCTCTCCAAAATTATCTCATTAATTCGAAAATCTTGGGAATCAAATTTTTGAGTGTCAACTATTTTTAAATTCTTCTCCTTAAATCTTGTTGTTTTTCATTAAAAAAATATATATTTATTTAATCCAAAATCAGATTTTTTTTTAATTCCTTAATCGAATTTTTGAAATTAATTAATATATAAAAAAGCATAAAAAATAATAAATATAGTGGGCATTTCACCACAGCCCTAAAGGGTTCTTCTTCAGCGCAGAAGAGTAGTCACACACGGGCAAAGACAGAACAGCTCTAAGCACACACGAAAACGCAGAAGAAAAAAAGGCAAAGGAGAGCAGACACACACAAGAGTGAAGAAAAGAAAGAGATGCAGAGCAAGAAACCTACAGCCCTAAACTCATTTGGCCAGACGAAAAGCACAGAGAAAAGAAACCAAAAGCATAGAGCAGGCGCACACACAAACAAGGCAGACGCGCACACACGGTAGAGACGAAAACGCAGCTGAAGGAAAAGAAAAAACAAAAGACAGAG